AGAATTGTAGAAACCGAAATCGAACGATTAAATCAGAAAACACAAGAAGCTATCCAACAACCCATTCAACAGCATTCTGAACATCAAAGATTTTTCTTTGAGTACATGGTAGATACACATGGAGGGTTTGACTCGTTGTTCAGATTTTTGGGTTTGAATCCTTTAGTATTTCTCGCTATCAGACCAGTCGTTTGTGATCTCTATACTGCAAGAAGAGGTAGGAAAAGTTTTTTCTACAATCCAGATGACAGATTGTTGTTGTTTTATCTATTTTTTCGTTACAACAAAATTGTACTTATTAGAAATCTTTGCATTCATTATATAAAAACAAACGAACAAATTGTTAGGGAAGTGAATGAAAGTGCTAAGCTGTTTAAAGTTGTCATGAAAGATTCGTTTATCATATTTAGAAATGAAAATTTACAAGGAACAAATGTGAGTGCTATTGTTGATTGTACAATAACGCCAACAAACGCTCCAAGTGGAAGTTTTTCTTCTAAGATGTCGTTCTACAGTGGTAAGTACATAATGTATTGTATTAAAATTGAAGTTGTTGTTAACTCTGTTACTGGGACTGCATGTTTTGTTTCAGAAGGAGAACCAGGTGCTTCTCATGACACGAGATTGTAAAAAAAACTTCTGATGATATTAACACCATGCTCAATGGTACTAAACTCATTGGCGACAAAGGTTATAAAGGAATTCAGTCGCTTATCCCCAATGGTTTTGTTCCAACAGAGTCTCCACTTTTGGAAAACAGATATCTGGTTGAACGTTACTTTGGACGTCTCAAAACTGTTTGTGCATTTGCCAGAGAGAAATACAACAAAGATACTGTAATATACGATGATCTAATATCTTTATATTGTTGTTTCTGTAACGTGGATATTGGAATAAATTCGCTTATCAACGTAGATCAGACAAATTATATAAATATTTTAGCAAATTTTGTGAATAAAATTGATGAAAGAAGAAAAAAGCACAGAGACAGCAACAGAGTTTATCGAAGAAGACAACAAGCTCAAATTTTTGCATTAGAAGAAGCAGAAAATCGGTCTCATTTATTTGAAGATGATCGTTATGATGGAGAAACAATATATATACATCAGGTCAACTTGATGGCGATGAGACCGGGACGGAACCTTAACAATAAATGAACTGTTTTTGTTATTACAATTCGAATAATTTACTTAAAATAACGGGAATATTAAATGATCATGGGGTTATCATATTAAATTAAATAGATATCTAATTAATTGTTACAAAGTGAATAAGATCTAATCGTCTTAAGAAAAAACAAAACACAAACAAAATAAAAAGATTAAACTTAAACTAACAAAACAATTGAATATAAACTAAATATAATTTATGTTTTTGGAAATGAACTAATAGAATACTACTTATATTCAGGATATAACATTAACTTCTAATCATTAATTATTCATTTTATTTAAATCTAGTCGATATGTTTGTTGCATTTAATATAAGGTTTTGATATTTAAGATATCTATTACTACATAAATAATGTAGAATATATAATATTAGCCTTTGGTCTAATGTAGTGCATTTACCTATCATTCATTTCAATTTATTTATTTTATAGATGTTATCACAGAGTCCGTTACAACAATTTGAAATTCCAATTTTTCAAAATAAAAAATTTAAATTATTTTAACAGGGATTCTTTTTTTAACTTTTTAAAACACATATTTTAACATATTACCCATTATGACGAACAATAATATTATAACCTTATCCCATGTGTATCATATATAACACTTTGTGTTTAAATATATTAAAATAAATATCATCGTTAAGAGAAACGATGACTATTTTTTGGATAAATACAAAAACAGAGGTTTCATTTTTCGTTCCAAAAAAACAAAAATTATTGCAAATTTTACCCGTCACTTTGCAACGGGTTTGTTACAAAACAATATTTGTAAAAAAATTATTTTTAAAATTTACAAATACAATACTTGACTTACAAAAAGCGTTCATATTATTGGCCAGTTAATAAAGTCATTTTCCTACACAAAAAAATAAATCAAAATTGTTCCAAAAAGTGAGCGAAAACGGAAAATCAAGGGTTTTTGTTCTTTTGAATAATAACAATAAATAATAATTGATTATGTTTTACATTGTATTAATTTCGATGTTTTGGAGCATTCCCCAACCAGTTTATGGACCCCCTATAATGTTATATGAATAAACTTCTAAACTCTTTGTTAAGTGTATTATAAATGTGATATTTTGATTGGTATTGGCACTTAAAAACAGTTTTAAAAATCTTTATAACATTTATATATGTTGTTTTGTTTTTTTGTTACCATTTCTTTTTTATTCGGTATCCACCCATTGTGCTGTCTTTGATGGAGATATTTGTCTCTCGTGTTCTAAAGATTATTATTTAGATTCATCAAACATGTGTATTTCTGATGTTGAAAATAATTGTTTACGTGTTAAAACAAATGGAGAATGTTTTACTTGTAAAGTGGGTTATGTTCTTGAACCTAAAAAGGCACGTGTTCTATTGGTGACGATTATTGCAAAATATACAGTTACGGGACCACAACCACTTGTTGGTCTTGTAATCTCCAGACCACTTTGATTAATTCTAATAAATGTGTGAATTGCTCTAATTTTGGAAATTCTGGGTGTAAAGTTGCAGATAGATCATGTTACAAATGTACCACTTGTTATGATGGGTATTATCTTGATAACTTTAGATGTTACAGATTGCCAAATTGTTTGCATTACTATGATAAAAATTGTTATGAATGTATAAATGGGTATTATCTTGATAACGAACAAAAGTGTCAAAAAGGTACGATCCGTCATTGTTCAGTTTATACAAATAAAGATACTTGTTCTAAATGTTTGGAAGGAATGAAACCCGTTGGAACACAATGTGAAAAGATCAATGGATGCATCTCTTCTAATGGAATCATATGTGAGAATTGTGAACCAGGAATGTCTTTAAATAACTCTGAATGTCAACCATGTGCCTCAGACAAGTGTATTGAATGTAATAATCCATCATCTATTTGCTCAAAATGTGTAAATAGATATACTATTACCACTAAGGGGGGATGCAAGAAATGTGAAGAAATGGAAGGCTGCACAAGTTGTGCAAATGACAAGGAAGAATGGTGCACTTCATGTTCAAATAATTATAGACTTGTTAATCATCAGTGTTACCAAAACATAGAGGGGTGTTATAGCTACAACAATAATCCAAAAGTGTGTGATATATGTTCAAATGGATACACATTAAATAATGGAACATGTATAAAATGTGAAGAAATTGGGTGTGATAAATGTGATGCTAATGGTCAAAACTGTTTATTGTGTCGTTCTGGATACACCTTTAATGGAACAAACTGTTTGAAGTGTAAAGATCGTTGTAGTTCATGTTTTGATGATTTGTCGAAGTGCTCAAGTGTTTCATTGGTTACTATCTAAGTAACAATTCCTGTGTGGGTTGTCAAAAAACAGGCTGTTCAAATCTTGATACCGACACGTGTGATGAGTGTTTTTTAATGTGTGTTCCCAAAGTAAACAAGACACGTTGCACAGATAATGCTTGTACTGTTAATAATGAAAGCTTTAACATCTGCACTGAATGTCAAAACAATTATTTCCTTGATGATGATTATTAGTGTAAAAAATGCGACAGTTCTTGTAATAATTATGGTGGGTGTGTTGGTGATAAAGATACGTGTTTACAGTCTAAAAACAAAATTAATAATTGTATTCTTGGAATTGTTGATGGTAAATGCAAAGTTTGTGAATTGAAATACACCCTTTCTGAAGACAAAACAAGTTGTGATATGATTGGAAATTGCGAAATTTGTGATGATGATGGAAATTGTGTGGAGTGTTATATAAAGTTGTATGACTATTTTGAATATTATTATACACCAAACAAAAAAGGAGAATGTTATGTTGGTGTGGATTATGACATTGATTATTCTGATAATGAAGAAACGTCTATTGATAATTCTGGTTATTCAAATAATCCAAATGGAACAATGAACGTTTTCATTGCTTTTTTGCCTTGGCTATTTTGGTCCTAATTTAATTCAATTCGATTTTTCAGTCTGGTGTATTTTCGAAAAACAATGTTTATAATTTTTTTGTGAGTCTTGTTATTTATCAAAAAAGTGGATCAGTTATTAATAATAACTTATTATGTTAAAATTTAATTAAGTATAATTATTATAAATAATTATAATTATTATTATTATTAGTATAATAAATTATAAATTATAAATTATAAATTATAAATTATAAATTATAAATTATAAATTATAAATTATAAATTATAAATTATAAATTATAAATTATAAATTATAAATTATAAATTATAAATTATAAATTAGTATTAGTATTTATTATAATAATAAATTAAACAAATTACAGTTAGACAAGTTTGCCTTAAATGGAATAGTTTGACTTAAATGGTTCATTTTAATGGTTTAAAAACTATTAACAATAGTAAACAGTGGGTTAAACTAGAAAAGAATTAAATGGTTAAATAGAATAATATTTAAACTAACATTTATATTAAAGTTTAATGTACATTTGAATCTTAAAAATAAAAATCACGACACATGTTAAGTATTGTTTTGTATGTCCCAACATGTTTATCTCGTTGGGTTCAAACATGTCAAACATACACCGCCTTATTCGGAAACGTTTGTGTTACTTTATTTTTATTGAAATACAATAAATTAGCAGTATCTCCTATCGCGACGGGGGAATACCGCTTTTAACTATAAACTAAATAATAATACACATAAAAACGAATTCAACGAAAGGAAAAACTACCAAACCTCTTAAGAGTGTGATTTATAAGAATCTCCGCTTGATTTTGGCCAATAAAACGTGGACCAACTTGATAAAGAGCGGGCCTATGTTTTTTTCGTTTGTTCTTAATTAATGTTCGTTTAATAGAGAACAACAAGAACGTTGAATACACATTCTGCGAAATCAGACTGCATTCATAATTGACTTGAATTTGAAATGTTATGGTTATACAATCAAATAAATTTTAATTATTCTTTACGTTGTTTGCTAACACATTAAAATGTTGGTGATTGTGATCATGATTGTGTGATAGTTAATAGTAATCTTTACTTTTTTCATTGCTTTCTTATTCTTTATGTCGTGTGTTTGGGTTTTTGACTTGCTTTTAATTATTTAAATTTTTATATAAACTTGATTATAAAAAAGCAATTAATTAATTTCTATTATAGTTCGAAAAAATATTATAATTAAACTATAATTTTTACCGTTTAACCCAAACTTGTCGTTTAAGTCAAACTTGTCATACTGTAAATATTTTAATTTATGTTGTTATCTATTGGTAGTTGATTTTTATAATTTAATTATACAAATATTAAAATTAAATCAAACATTGTATAAAAACGGTTTTATTTAAAGTTACAAGTTATTTATTGTACCCATTCATTTTCGTTTAAAAATAAACAAAAAAACTTAAAATTAACTCATTTGAAATTTGCATGTCAAAATACATATCTCGTGTGGACAATGTTCATATGAAAACCATATCTCAGTACTTCACAAATTTAAAAGACTTAATCAAGGTGGTGTTAATTTCCAAAAAATTTTCACGTAATTTCGACCTTTTTGATGCAAACCCTATTTCGCTTACAACAAAAATACTCAAATATTTTCCAAACATTGAAACACTTAATTTATGGAACGAACACGATGAGACTTTTTCAAATGAAATTGTATGGAGTGATAATGAGAATTCTTCGTTCAACCAATTTCTTGAGAAAATGAAATTTAAAACACCTCCACTGAACGTTCACTTTCAAAAAATAATTGTTTGGTTCCAAGTCACACAGAAAGTCGTTTTTAATACTTTAAAAAGAACGACCACGACACCTCATGCAGAAATAATGTCAAAAAACAGTGAAATAAACACATCACAAGAAACAAATGATGAAAAAATTGAAAAAGTCGAACTTTCTCAACACGAAATGACAACAAAAAATTCAAAGAAAATTAAAAAAACGAACCAACCAGATATATTCAAAGCTTATGAAAAATCACTGATGTTGAATAATTCAAATTTCATTTTTAAGAACATCAAGTTGACTCGCTCCGATCGCGTCGATTTTTTTGGCGTCGACCCGACGAGGGTATTTGTTCCTCTATACACTCAACGCATCGCAGAAAACTGTTTTGACCACCAAAACTTTTTGAAAGAAATAACATTGCCAAACACATTGACTTCATTGGGTAAAAAGTGTTTCACAAAATGCGTGTCTTTAACTTTAATCACACTTCCCTGTTCATTAAAAACACTTGGAAAGTATTGTTTTAAAAATTGTATAAAAATCACTTCTTTGGACATTCCCAACTTCATTCAAGAACTCCCAAAATTTTGTTTTTCAAAATGTTTTTCTCTTCGGCACTTGAAAATTTCAGAAAACATCAAAATTGTTGGAGAAAGTTGCTTTGAAAATTCGACTGCGTTTTCTTCGTTCAATTTCCCATCAAAACTTGAGTTTTTGGGTAAAAACTGTTTCTTCAATTGTCGGAGTGTCAAGCAATTGAGTCTGCCAGAAAGTCTACTTTTCATTGGGAAGGGGTGCTTCGAGAGTTGTTCTTCGCTTTGTGAAATATCAATCAAAGGAAATATTAAAGAACTTCCCGAAAAGTGTTTTGCAGATTGTTATTCTCTGAGTAAAGTTGAATTACAAGAAGGTTTGAAGGTCATTGGCAATTTTTGTTTTTTAAGATGTGGTTCTCTGAAAAGTATAAAAATTCCGTTTGGTGTGAGTTCTCTTGGAAATTTATGTTTTGGGGAGTGTGGTACTTTGTGCCAAGTCGATGTGCCTAAAGGTGTTAAGTACATTGGAGAGGGCTGTTTCTCAAGTTGTCCATCACTATTAGAAATAAAAATACCAAAAACGGCAAAATTGAAAAAAGAAAAATGCTTTAACGAAAATGTCGTTATTACTCTATTTTAATATTGGAGCGTTGTAATAATTATATAAATGAAATTTTTTGTTTGTAATGTTTATTTATGGAAGAGAAAAAATGTTTAAATTCGTTTAATAAACACAATTAATTAAAAATAAATGGTTAAGTGTTATAACCAAAACATGTTAATTAGAAGGTATTTCGCTTGTTTTTTAATATTATAATAAGCATTTAGATGTTTGTCAAAACATTTAAAAATAAAAATGTCATAATTTAACATGGTAAACTGATGTATAGTTTAAACTGATAACATTCTTTTTAATTTTAATTTTCATGTGTAATAAAATATTGCATTTTATTATTTGTTGTCTGTTTGTTTTTAATATTTTAAAAACAATTGTGAAACAATATTTATTAAACATATCACAAAAAAATCATTTATTAAAAAACGAGGGGCAATTTCTTATATTTAATTGTACTTTATCGTATAAACCTTCAATTTTTGTTAATAACGGACAGTTTTGAATGTGAACTTTTTGTATCATTTTACCAACTTGAATTTCTCTAATAAATTTGCAGTTTCCAACAACAACTATTTTCACATTATCATTACATATCAAACATGTCATATTTTGTCTAAAAATAGTTACCTTATTAGAGTTAACACGTTTTGTGTAATCAATTTTATTTTTACTTGCGCCTTTAATTTTCATCCCATAACCCCCGCCTTCAATTGTTTGAAATACCACGTCTTCTAATATTAACACCGTAACAATGTCACTCAAAATAAGTTTTTTGTATTCTGAGTAACAACAATTAGAAGACATTAAAGTGACTTCTTTGAATTTCACAGACGAAAAGTCAATAATTTGTTGTTCAGTGTTAATAAAATCAAGCTCAATTTCAGCACAGTTGATCATAGGATTACTAATGAAATTGAAATCATCAAAATCGAAGTTTTGATTAAATGTAAAGCGAACTATACATTTTCTGAACTCTCCCGTAAATTGTGTTTCGAATAAATAAAAATTCTTTTTCACGTTTTTTATATTGAAAAGTGTTGCGTCTTTTGTTGTCATTCCAATATCACAAAATTCCATAGTTACAATTGGACACGTGTGAATAGTCACTTTCAGTCTTTTCAATTTCTCGATTGTAATATCAAATTCAGTACCTTTGATTTTAGCTGCAAGTAAAGGAAAACACCCAATAACTGTTGGTTTTTCATATCCAATTTCTATTAATTTTTTGTTATTAAACACAAAGTATGGACATTTATAAAATTTGTTTTTTAACAATAAAATTTCTTTGTTAAGAAAATTGGAGCAGTCACAATATTTAATTTTTGTTGTTCCCTTCATGAAACATTGAATTTTGGAATTTGTAATTGAAGTGAAACAACTTGTGACATTTGAAATTTGTTCTTTGCTATATAAATTGGTTGTGACAATATCTTTATGTGTGTTGTTCTCAATTAATTCAAGGTTATCACATTTTGATATATTGAGTGCATTGACAGAGCATTTTCTGATAACAACATTTTTGGTGTTATATATATCAAAAAAGTCACTTTCAACACCGTCTATTTCAATGTTTTTGCAACTTTTAATTTCAAGTTTCGATATTTTCATTTGCTCATTTTCCCCGCAAAACTCTTTGTTTCTGATATAGAAAAAATTTGTAGTGCAAATGTAGAGGTACACACAATAATACAACACGGTAAAAGTGGAATTTGTGCAATTCACAAATAACACTTCAGAAGCGCTTTCGACATTAACTTTAATTTTGTCACAATAATACAATTTAATGTATTTGCACGCCTTACCTATAATTTCTACGTCATACAGATTAAGAATGTTGATCTTGTTTTGTCCATTTGGTGACAAATATACTTTTCTTATATCCATACTATTCGAAACTATACAAAGTGGTCCCTGAAGTGTCAATTTCACATCTCTTATTTTTTCAAATTGAATGTCGTCGACTTGTTTATAATTGTTTTGGTCATCCAAATCTACACGTTCAATAATGTATTTGTCATTTTGAAAACAATTCTTGAGACAATATTGTTTAAGTTGACTCTTCTCAACAACATAAATTTCTCCAGAAAACCGCATATTTCCAATAAAAAGTACATTGTCAATTATATCGGACGTTTTTATCGGACTAAATTGTAACACATCAATTCCAGATTTCACAAGCTTGTCCTTTAAATCTGTTATTACAGATTTATAAACAATAGATAAGATGTTACACTCTAATATCACACCAATTTTTAAAGAAGGTAGATGTGAAGATTTTCTGAGTTGAAAAATTGTCACAATTTGTTCGATAAATTTTGGCAATGCGCAGCGCCAAAAGATGATTGAAGTTATAGCTTTATTTGTAA